CAGGCAGGATACTTCGTGGGGACCAGCCTTTCGTCGGAGCTCCGCGATGCTGGTGGCTCTTATATCGCCCTGACCTCCCCACTTGCTGTAACCTCCACCATTCGAAACCATAGAGCTGCCCAATCAGCTATGTTTGCAGGCGGTTGCGTCAGTTCGTTCCTGGCTTTGCTCATGCACAGCTTCCAATGAATCTTCCATGCTGGTTCAACGCAGCGCCGGGGCTTTCGGGGTTAAGGGATTTCCAAACTGCCCTAAATAGGGGGACCACTTGGGAGACTAGATGACGCCACCAAGCGGAAGCTAGATTCGTCGGACATTTGGCCGTTCGCAAAACGCAATACACGGTCTCGGAAACGTGCTACGCAGTATTACCAGATTGGGCTCAGATGTAATAACAGTCGATTAGATATCCAAATCATAAATCAAGCTCGAAACGTTATACAGGGTCGGGCCTATAAAGTATGTGTTAGGCCTTTCGCGGCAATCGCAAGCAATGCAACTCATAAGGACATCAATCGACTATCGAACCTGAATACTGATCTTATTCCCTCAGGCTGTCAGAGAGATTAACTGATAATATGACAACTCCAGATATCTCAGGGCTTGAAAAGCCGCCCAAGAAGCAGATTCTCCTCAATGCCTTTGACATGTCAACAGTCGGCCATCTCTCGGCCGGACATTGGAAAGTCTGGAGAACCTCGTCCAAGATTCAAAAACGAATCGAGTGTTAATATTTTCACAGAACCCGGCCGATAGATCAGCAACAAAGCGCAAGCTGACATACTGGGTCGAGTTGGCAAAGCTTCTCGAAAGAGGCGGAATCAGTGGCCTGTTCCTTGCGGATACAAATGGAGGATTCGATACCTATGGCGGGAGCGTGGAGGAGAGCATCAGAAGGGCTGTTCAGTGGCCGGTGACCGACCCAGCTATCGTACGCAGCGTCCTCTTTTTTCCCATTTGGTGCAAGCGAGCTGGAACATATAGTACTAACAGCTTATTGTAGCCAATCACAGCCATGGCGGCGGCGACTAAGAATCTTACATTCGGTATCACGGCGTCCACGTCTTTCGAATCTCCTTTCGTTCTGGCAAAGCGATTTTCGACCCTGGATCATATGACGGATGGACGTATTGGCTGGAATATTGTCACATCGTGGAAGAAGTCTGCATTCAACGCCATCGGCATGGACCCTGTTGAGCATAACCAGCGATATGCGCAGGCTGACGAGTATATGAGAACATTGTACAAGTTTGTCTCGCCCGCCTCTTCGAACCCAGATGACACATGACTTTTTACTAACATAAGAGCTCTAAAAGACTATGGGAAGGTTCATGGGCTGATGATGCGCTGGAGCCTGATTCGACTACAGACACATATATTGATCCGTCTAAAGTGCGCCATATCAATCATCAGGGCAAGTATTACAAACTATCCACCCGCCACATTGTAGATCCTTCTCCCCAACGAACCCCGTTCCTGTTCCAGGCGGGCTCGTCAGCTGAAGGTATCGATTTCGCAGCCACCCACGCAGAGGGCATTTTCGTCTCGTCGCCTTCACCTGAGCTATTACGGGTGCAGATTGAGAAGAACCGCAAGATTGCAGCTGAAAAGGGGCGCGACCCACACTCCTTGAAGTTCTACCTCTCCTTTACACCCATTCTGGGAAAAACGGATGAGGAAGCCCAGGAGAAGTTTCGGGAGCTCAGGAAGAATGCGAGTCCTATTGGCGGCTTGGTCCTTTTTAGCGGATGGACTCGTATCGATATGGCTAAACTCCCGCTCGATGAGGATATCAGCAAGGTAGACTCTGATGAGGCCAGAAAGCTGTGCAACATTTTCAAGCCCACGGCCGAGACGCCCGTCTGGACGCCTCATCTCATCGGCGAAAAAGCTGCCATGAGTGCCATCTCCCCCTCTGCTGTCGGGTCTCCAGCTACGGTGGCGGATGTAATGGAGAGTTGGATCGAGATTGCTGATCTGGACGGTTTCAATCTTGGATATGTTACGTCGCCGGGTTCATTTGAAGATGTCGTGGAATTACTTGTGCCCGAGCTGCGGAGACGCGGTATCTACCCCGAGGCCATTGAGGCCGGGTTGACGGCACGGGAGCGGGTCTATGGAAAGGGCCAAGCTCGGTTGAGGGATGACCATGCCGGGAGCAAGTACAAGTATGAGGTATATCAGGAGGAGGAGCCATACGTTGCGGATAGTCAGTCAGGGGAACTCGACGTATAGAAACTATGGGCATCATGGCTCGACTCCCATAGATACGAATCAACGGCCTAACTCGGCCATACAATTTTGTAAGTTCCCTATCACTACAAGACCACCTTATCTCTATGAACTTTCTGCGCCGGACATTCTCGGTTCCTGTTGTTACTTACCCTTATTCAATCAAGCCTTTATTAGCAGATATGTCTCGGTGGGTATTTGGGCAGTGCCCCTTTTTATCTGAACCACAAGAGGGCTTTACAATTGTATTCATAACTGCCCCTCCCCATGTAGACTCAATCTTTAAACTCCAACTCGCAATCCCCGGTTTTTAACACTCGCATATCCGCCTTCTCCTCCGCAAGAATCAGGGCCTTTTCCTTGTTCTTACCCAAAAGATACATCCTTTGAACACTAACCAAGACACTCGCCAAAACGATGGACCCGAGAGAAAATCCCTTTCCAAGCACATATGGCGATTTTCGATATATCTGCCCAGCGACAATGCCTGCCAAATTGCCGAGAGTCTGCTGGATACCAATGGCTATAGCACGCCGGTATTGTGGTACCATGTTGACATTGAGCCAGGCAATGTTCATGTCTGACCCATTGTAAGCAGAAATTGAGACGAGGAAGCAGGCAAAGTATTTGATGGCATTGTTTCTGACAGTGAGTAGGATAATATAGCCAATCGTCCCCATCACGCTTGTTATCAAGATGATCTAAGATGGATGCCATCAGCCAAAAGTTCGAGCACCTATTTCGAAAGCTTCAGTAGGAGTCGGGTAGACTTACAGGTCCGCACTTTTCGTATTTGTCGGGGATGGTTGCAAGCACGATAAACGCTATTGCGCCAAGCAAGTGAATCGGAATGGTCAAATAATTGAACGCAAGTCTATCTTGTCCCATCGTCTTCAATATAGCTGGAAGAAACATGATGAAGCCGAAAGTCGAGATATTCTGGAAAGCTGGGTGATTGCACTGCGTACATGCTAGACCCCATTTTGTTGAGGACATCTGGGAAGTCATACTTTAACCAAACTTTCATATCAGTGAATGCAAGCCGTATCTCCTCCCAGGAAAAGACACCCTCGCCCATGTATGTCAAGCGTTGTTGATGACGAGTTTCCATGACCTCGCGGTCGTACACGAGAGTGAGATATAAGTTAAGCGAGGGAAACAAGTCGCCCTCGGCAGCACCAAGAACAAAGCGACACGCATACAAACCCCCGACATTGGTCACGAATCTATTCGCAACAGTCGCAACAGTCCATATGATACACGGGAGGAAGAGGGCGTAACGTGGTGAAAAGCGCTTGACAAGAATGATGGCGGGGGATTTCGACAAAGAGGTACGGCACGTAGAAGATGGAGATTGCGGTCGAGAATTGAGCTTCGGATGCCCCGATGTCTTCTGGAATATCTGCGACTTTGACGTTTCCTGTCGGTTTGTCAGAAGGGTTCTTGATCGGTGGGATGCGTTCTCAGTTACCAATATTGGCCCGGTCAATGAAGCATGCCATGTAAATGATGTACAGAGCTGGCAAGACGTAGAAATCTACCTTTCTAACGGCTCGGCGCTCCGTCTTTGGGTCAATTGCCTGTACTCGGCTTCCAGCACTTGTTTGGGTCTGGCAATCCGAGTGGCCTGTCACCACCTTTTCTTCAATAGTCGCTAGGTCCATGCTTCAATGTTAAACTGGGAGGTTATTCCTGTGTATTTTGATGGCAGATATACACATCGGCCATCGTTAAGGAATCTTGCCGTATAAATGCGAAATCTCAGGCTGTGGGTGATTATGCTACGCCCTCGGCTCCAGTCTTCTCCTCCTCATTAATAAACTGCGTGTCACGATATACGTCAATGTTTCGTGTGGTGAGACACAACTTTGCTTCCATCACCATCGGGTGCTGCATATGAGAAAGATGGTCCTCAAGTGACATCATGCTGCGGTAGATCCAGGGGCTCGGATGCTATCTGCTCCCGATCGTGATACTCATCGAAACATATCGAGGCGGGGAATCGTTTTCGATGAGAAGCGGTAAAAGACGGGTTTTCGAACACAAATTCTATGTTGCATGTCTAAATTCTTGAAAGAGTCATGCAAGTACGTCGATGGCTGTGGGTGGATTGGTTGAGGCACAGCTAGAGAAAATACAGGAGTTTCACAACGTACACTTTCTGTGCTTCCTCAATATGCTTCATTGTATCACACACACTTTGGGTCTTGTCGCCATCATGTTATTCAGGGCTTACTTCCTTACCCGATATGTTCCGGCTGTTCTTCCTCCCATTGGCTGAGTGGCGCAACAGTAGGTACCTACTAACTGGCCATTGCGTCGAGGTACCAAAGCACGACGTAGCACGCAAAGCCAGAACAAAGATGGTGATATAGATACACGGGATACTATCCGTGATACACATTCTGGTACTTGAGTGGTTCCGTCAATGCTGGACTGCCCCCACAAGTTCGTTTGCTGGAGCGAAACAAGCGGCAAGAAATGTCAACCGAAAGAGTCGTAAATGGAGGCTGTACTTTGAGTGTGGCAACCTTCTCAGTCTGAGCCATCCTTTACCTATACAGTTCATCCGAAAATGGGGCGATCTTACGTCGAGTCGTCGGCCACCACCACACACCATCCCGTCATCAATGACAGAATTTTCTTGCATTTCGGATTTTTCCTTCAATCATTTCTCAATCTCGATGACATAGTTTATTCATTGGCCCCACAGCAAGAGAGTTGCGGCATTTATATACACAACTTGCTCAATACCTCACATCAAATAAGGAGGGATGGCCGAGCGGTCTAAGGCGCTGTGTTCAGGTTGATATCCAACCCAGGACGATACTTTCGCAGTCTAGTAATAGGCGTGGGTTCGAATCCCACTTCCTTCAGTTCTTTTTGAACTTCCCAACGATTGTTGATGATTTCTTTTTGATTAAATGAAGCGACAAACAAATGTTCCAAAATGTGTGTTGATGCAGCGGCACCTACGATTTTTTTTGGTGGGAGACGCATGTCCATGGGCGCGCAATTTATTGTGGGCCAAGCCTGTTAAGTGGGTCTCATCTTCCTCGTCACGTGAGGTCCAAATTGAGCCGAACTCGGACTGTAACATGTCTGACACAACCAAGGGAATGCTCGTCGGCTGTGTTGCCTGATCGTCGCCTTTCATATCATTGGACTACTGAAAGTATCTCTGTTTACTACTTGTAGTCTTGGACAAGTCATGGACAGTTGGAAAGCTGTCGCCACGGATGTTGGCCCAGCTCTTGTCGACCATGATGGACTAGTTTGGGCTTGGTGGACGCAAAGCGAGACATGATGTAGATTATTGGCGAATATGGACGGTTGACGGGTTTGAATTATACAAGGTTGATGAGTAGATGGGAAAAGTCTTGTGATAATCGGGGGCCGCGCATTCACAATCCTTGAGTCGTCCACAGTTTCGCCACAAAAGCCAGGACAACATAGTGCTTGTCGGAGCATCGACGCTTGCTACATAGACAGTCAAGAAAGAGAAAAGGACAAAGTGATGTGGGGCTACTGGTTAACCCAGCGGTATCCATGAACACAATATATAATCACCAGCCGGGCTGGTACCCGAAGCCCAAGTTCCCGTGGTGCAGGAAATTATGTTAAATATCAAGTTCCTATCCGTCATCTAATCCATTTGTGCTCCTTCTAAATGTTGGCTTATCCATGCGCCTTTATCCTTGACATGGTTGCCATCTATACCCAATGACCTAACTATCGCCTTACCCTGATTCTAGATCCGTATCAATTTGCGTGGTTCATTCGGCGAGCTTTTGCTTCCTTTGCTTAAGCCGAGCAAAAAACCTTGAAGTGTCTCCCATAGGCACGTCAAAAGGGAGCGCCTCTTGGCAAAGATAATGGAGCACGCAGTAGAAACCGAGCAACCCTGAAATAAAGGCAAACACTCCAGACGCTTTGATGAGGCCAGCGCTGGTGGCCAGCTTCCCATCCGCGTGCGCGAATTGCGACGCGGCGTCGAGACTCAGACAGACTTCGAGTGCCACGAATATGCTGATGTAGACAAAGGAGCTTAGGGATGTTAGCAATTGAAGACAGAAAAGGGTGGAAACATGAACTCACAATGGAAGACTCGCAATGAGGAAGAAAATGTTCAGTACCGCCCACACTATTCACTGTTAGGCCAGGTTTCTTTCAACTGATAAGATGGCTTACGTAGTAGGTAAAAACCCATGGCGTTGTAGTACTCGGGCGTCTTTCCGCCGTACGCATCGACAACGCCGAAGGAGGGAAGCATGATTGCGCCATATCCACCGTAGAAGAGTGCTGTCAAGAGTCAGTAGGTGCAAGGGTGGCATGACCGTGGGGCAACTCACCATAGGCGCTCAACACTGTGTAGGAAAAGGTAGCCCCTCTGATCAATTCCCATTGGGCTGAGATCAAAAGCCCTATGCTGGCCACAAAGCAGAGATCTGCCACAAAGACGTTTTGGGTCTCGACACCACGGACTCCCATCATTGCCAGAGATACAGCCGTCAAGGTCACTGCGAATCCTGCCATGGCAAAGGCAGACTATGTATTGAATGGTCAGCTTCAGTAAGTGTTAATATTTGTCTAGCTACTTACCGGGTTGCCAATTCGTTCCCCCAAAGGAGGGCTATGGTATGCCAACGTTGGCGTCATCGACATTGGTGTCGGTGAGACTCCAAACTTTTCTTCGTCTGTGGCTTTGAAGGACATTGTGTCGCGTAGGTAGGGCAGTTCAAAGGGCACTTGGCTGAACTGATATCTTGAGTGCGGGCTGTAGACTCAGGTAGAATACCTTATATAGAACACGGTAGGTCTCACCCGTCGGAACTACTCGGGATGGTGTGATTCGCGATGACAAGGGCAAGAATGTTGAGACTCAAAACCCGCTTGAAGACGGTCTACTGTTACCTAATAGTCACAGTCGAGGTGATCTAGACAGTTCCAAAGTCGAATCCACCGCTTTTCCTAAGAGGAGCCTTCCCCATGTCCCCTGTACGTCTGCTTGTTAGCGTTGCGGAGTAATCTGGGGAGGGTCATTTTGTTTGTAACCAACTACCCGCGAAAGCAGGTTATCGCTGGTGCAGAGCTTTCCCCCTCCTACTCGGGGTTTCCAGTACGCCGCAAGGTCCGAAGGGAATTAGATTTCCAAGCTGAAACTCTCCGGCTTGGGCTGATCGTAGACTAATACAGCTTCCGCAAGCTTAGATGCTTCCGAATAGTCGGGGTCTAGCCTCGGGTTGGCTTTCCGACACTCCACATTCTCGAACGGGGAATTATACCCGATGGTTTTCGGTTACGTACTTTATTGACCGTCTAATTCGACTGCATGTTAAATAACTAGGGACGTTGAAATGTCCTGAAATCGAAAATTCTTCCAGAAATAAGGATGGTAATTACAGCCGATGCTGAGCGAAGGATTTGCTTTCTCAGTTCTAGCTCTTTCTGCGCTGCGGGACTGGTGACTCATTCTTCTGCTCCAGTCATCTGTAAAGTTCTATAAGTATTGTGAAAGAGCTACTCACTCTCATGTAGGAGCAGTGACGAGACTGGAGGTGTACGAAGTGAGTGCCAGGGTATCGATGGTTGACCTCTCATCATTTTGGGGATGAGATCTCGACTAACTCCTCAGACGATGCATATAATGAGGATTGAGAGTCAACAGGGGCCCAGCCAGCAGGACTTGTCCAACTCGTCTTTTGAGATGGTTCTTTTTACTTCGATGGTCGAGGCGCCGATTTTCTACAAATAATCCAAATTACGATGAGACTCAACGAAGCCCAAATCATGTGGATAACAAGATGGAAGCTTGTTCCCCGATGCGCGGCTGCCTTTGACACTCTCATATGACAATGATGGTTTGAGTAATACAGCTCGACTAGTTACCCAGTTTCAGCATGCCAGGAAGAGTAGGGCATGGAAATGAATCCTTTCCTTTAACCGTGTGTGTATCTACCACGCACTGTACACGCTTCCAGCACTTATTGGTGATGATCCCTGTCCGTCTCCAGAGCTGAAGCCTCTGTCTAAGCCACAGCCAAGCCAGCGCGTCAGCGTCAGCATTTTATACGTTACTCCGCATTTAAGCTTCATCAAAAGCATCACACGCATGTGCACGAAACTGATCAGATCTGAACCTGCGAACAGCCATGGCTGATCCAAAGCCGTGCTGGGAGTGTCTCAAGAAGCGCTTGGCTTGCGACTTTACCCGTCCCGCGTGTCGAAAATGTCGGCTGAGGAACACGGAATGTCCGGGCTACGGCAAGAAGCCGCTGAAATGGCTTGAACCGGGACAGACGAGGTCCAAGGGGCGTCGGGCCAAGAATGAATCCAACATTATCCGCCTTTGCCTCAAGGATACCAGCGAAACAAGCACCGTTGTAGAGGCTATCAAATACTGTGAGAGCTGCGGCCTTTCCGAAAGGAACCACTCAAAGATGCTAACGTTCAATAGACAACAACCATATTTGCCCCGATCTGGAAGTAGTCGGGCCCGCAGGCATCTCCGAAAGCCCATTCTTCGTGCAGTTCGCGTCGGCCTCCGACCTGCCCGCCTCAATAAGGCAGACCATGGTTTCTATTGCGCTGGCTCATCGGATCCTCCAATTTGAGCCAGGGTTCGAGTCTGATCGTGCCACACTCTCAACAAGGCTTCAGATACATCGAGGAGGAGCCATTAAGGAGCTTGCTCGAGAAGTAAAGGCTTGTTCAGAAGCGAACATTGCCACCTTGGCTGCCGTCTTGACGTTTCTTTTTGCCGAGGTATGTGTATTGAAGACATCACAAAGAAACCTGCCTAATCTGAATATTACCCGCCCTTAGATACAGCAGTGTCTATCTCCGAACTGGCGACTTCACTGCAATGCCGCCCACGCTATCATGGACACAATGGGTGGCATGCCCATGTTGATTCTATCTCAGCCCTTCCTCCGTCATCTCCTACGATACTTTGTCCTGTAGGTGGTCTTACTTCCAGTCAATATTCGGCCCAGCTGACCATCATCCCAATCTAGGATTGAAGTGCTAGGCAGCACCACGTCACCCAACGTTGAGCCTGACAAGGCACGGCGGCAACTTGAAATTATCAGCCTCTTGCCCCACTTGTATGGAGACGGCCTGAGTACCGTTCTTCCATGGCTTGGGGGGCCTCCCCCAGAGCTAGTACAACACCTTATTCTCATCAACTATTGGCGATCTCGGACAGCTGAATCTATCTCATGCCAAAATCCGCAACGGTATTCCCCCTTGGAGTTATTGGACCGTGTCGTTTCATTTTCAGTAGAAGACTGGGTGAGCGGCATTCATCGGAAGCAGCACACTGGTGATGTGAAAATGGATTCTGAGCGACTGCCACTAGGCCTCGGGGGCTGGGAGAAACTCCCCTACATCTTCCAGTCGTCAGTGGTGCTCTACTGCATCTCGTCATTATTCGACTCGGACAGCACGCCGTGTACCCTTCCTGACACTGCTAATGAGCGCGTTGGCCATATCGGCATTGGCGCTCTAAGGCGAACACACAGGGACGCGCTTCTCCGCGACCTCAAGGACTTGGCGTCTCCCTCACAAGCACAGCTACGCAAGGCCGTTTTGTGGCCTCTTGTGATGGCTGGCATTGAAGTCGACGCGACCGACACAGCCTCGAAGGTATTCATCCTGTCGGAGCTCAGCTGGATGAGCAAAACGCTGGGAACTGCATCGCCGTTGATAGCAAAGGAGTATTTGGAGAAGTTATGGGCGTCAAGTGGAGCGAAATGCTGGAATGATTTGTTTGATAGGTGTTATGTATTTGCCATGTGAATCCAGCTACAACGGAGTCATAGACGATGCTACCAATGGTATCACTTAGACGAGGGAATTCCGATGCTTGGAATAC